AGTTCAAACAGGTGCAATTAATACAGGCAATGAGTGGAGGATAGGAGGGCTTCTTAAAGACAAACTAACAGGTCTGTGAGAGCCAGAATTCTTGCTGGTTGGTAGGTGATCAAATACTTATTTCATGCAATAAAATGGAAATAAATTATTTAAAAATCTAACAATGTGATTTACTGGAATTTTTTGGTAGATTCTGTCTCTCACAGTTGAGGTGTACCTACGATGAAAATGATAGAACTGTCCATTCTTTGTAAGTGGGAAAACTTGAAAAATCGGTGGTGTATCAAATACTTATTTGCCCCACTGTACCTGTATTTCAGCCATGAGAATCTCTGAAAAACTACTCAAAAATACCTAAAACAAGACAATATAAAGTATTTGAGAAAAATCAAGGACAAGATTTTACACATGTGCATTTTACCCCTGGGATTTGAGTATTGAGTATACTCTGACAGCTGTGGGGAGGAATGACCTGCGGTAATGCTCCTTCTTGCCCTGGGGATGTAACAGTCTTGTGCTAAAAGAACTGTTCAGAGCCTCCACTGTGTGGTGCAGGGGATGGGAGGGGTTATGCATGATGGGTGTTAGTTTTGCCAGTTTTGACTTATTAATCCCACAAGAACTTATCTTCAATAACATTGTGTTCTTATTCTGAAATAAAGCCAAAACGGGTAAAGAGTTAAACATGCGTGCTGAGCATTGCAGTTACATGAGGTAGCTGTGTTTGGCTCACTCCCAGAATGCACCACGGCAACAGATTCACAGACATAAGGCTCTCTTGTTAATTAATGGCTAATTTAATAAAAGTCAAATACTGAAATCGCTTATGTACAAAAGCATTCAGGGGCTTCTACAAATTACTGAATAAGAAGTCTGACTAATACACATGTCAGACTTCATTTTAAAAAAATTTTACAAAAATGTCAAACGATGTAATTAAGTTAAATCTACAACATAACAATGGGAGCCTACTGTAAACTAAAGAGGTCTGAACACTTTCTGAAACAACTGTGTGTGTAAACACATCTTACTGTTCAAACACTGAATGGATCTGAGCCATTTCCAGCAGCAATGCATCTTAAATGATTATTATTATTGGGGTGTGCATTGACTAATATTCTGTTAGCAGGATTCAGGTTAGAAGGTTGAAGAGATCATGGAAGAAAATGCAACATCTACAGCACAGTTAACCCAGAGATACTGTTTTAATTCAACAAATACAATCTAGAATTTCTGATTTGAGCTGGTTCTACTTTTTTTTTTTTCTGGGTCACGTGGACAAACTGCAGGTGGCGCTCTGCCGTCAGCGCTTGCACTCAGTGGGCCCCACATTGTTCTTTGTCATATGCTCAGAACAGTAACAAGAAAAGCTGTCAAAGTGGGTGCAGAGTGAATTGTGTTGTAGCACAAACCAACAAAAAGCAGCTACACCTACATCCATTTAGATGAAAATTACATCTGCTGTTATGATAAGGATCTCCCTCCTAATGTACTCACGCGCATGACAGGGACGCCAGCTAATGCATTACCAACTCCTTTAAAACTGGGAAAAATGATATAAAAAAAAAAAAGAGGAATGAAAGAACGGAGGCAGCCAGAGCAAAAATAAACAGCAAGATAAAAACAGAGGAGTAGAAACAGAGGGATGAGAGATAATGGAGTGTGCGTGTGGGTGTGTGAAGAAAAAAAAAATGGACTATGTAGGGCACCTCCTACCTTTCTCATCTGGTGGTCGATCATCACATTGTGGGGTTTGACGTCACGGTGCATAATTCCCATACTGTGACAGTAGTCCAGAGCCTGGAACACACACACTTAATTTCAGTGTAGACAAAGACAAATGTGTGTACAGTCTTTCGTTGCCAAGAAAAGAAAGAAAGAAAAAAAAAGAGTGGGAGAATTTCCTCCTCTAAACAGTCATGGCTACATAATCTCTAACATTTTTTTTTTAGTAATGTCTGTTGTTTAAAACAAAACAAAAAAGCTTGTGTGTTAATGGTATGCAAAGCAAACAGGTCTCACCTTCAGTAGTTCATACATATAAAAACGGATATCATAGTCTGTCAACTTCTGGTATAACTCCTGCAGAGAAAAACAAAAACAAATCTGCATGAGGATATGAACCTTGAATCTGAAAAGTACCCGCAGTCCCAGCACTATCCTACTGATACAAACATCACAACAAGGGAGGGGGATAAATAGGCAAGTGGCCACAGTGACATCAGAGCGCCCAGTGTGGCCACAAAGACCCACCAACAGATGCATGCAGAGGAGATATGATGGTCGTACCTTGAAGTCTGTATTATTGATGCATTCAAAGACCAGTGCTGGAGTTCTGGACTGTGCAGCCACCACAGAGAGACAGAGAGGGGCAGAAAGTCAAAACCAAAACAGAAAAAAACAAAATCACAGACAACCATGAAAAGATGTGTTTCACTGTTGATTCAAAACAGCTTTGACAAGCCCATTGTATGATCTCAACTACTAAGGCTAATGTACTGGAAATTAACTGGAGCCCGACCTGAAACACTGACAGCGTCTCACTTGATCAACTGGCAAACCAGGCAGCACTGGTTTATTTCAACCAGGCAGCACTGGTTTATTTCAACCAGGCCACGATTAGAATGACAATTTTTACAGGAAATTTGCCCCCAAGCAAAAACAAAGGGCCCTGCAGGGTTTCCACCACTGTACTAGAAGACACATCGGCTGAGTCACAGCATTTCCATGGCCTATAAATATTCTTCCTTCCTGGTTCATTCATGTTTTCCAGCTCAGAGATGTCGTTGCAAACAGAGACTCATGACTGAAAACACAGGGCATATAGGAAAGCAGAAATGTGTCCATATGTCAAATTCCCTAATACTCTACAAATTGATCAGATAATTTATTCTGTTTTCTGACTTTGCTTTTGGAGAACATCTGTTAAATCAGATATTCCAAAAACTGTGTGGCCCAGTGGCAGCCCACTGTAAATTAAACTAATTACAGTATGAATAACAGCAAAATTGGAGTTAATGTTTTTTTCCCTCACAAATACCAGCACCAGGTTTCACCCTCCATGACAGAAGTAATCATTACATCCAGTGTGTAATTCACATTCATTGCCTCCTCCAAGGGCTCTTTTCACTGGCAGCACTGTGACATCAGCTTAACGTTACTGTTATTTGCAGACAGCAAACTTGGAGTGGAGAAAACAGGTTTACTGGATTGCTGTTCCTGCACAGATGCCACCATTAACGCCCGCTTTGAATCAATGGGGTTGGCGGGGCCTTGGGTTATCTGCAGGGCATAAAGGGCCCTCGGCTTCTGCTATTTATCATTCCATATTTGTTGTTAGATCCTGTGTTTGCATTGGATTGGTCAGTTTGATTTTGTCAACTCTAAAACACTCTGCTGGAACAAAATTACAAATAAAAAAAAAGAACTACTGCAAAGACACACAGTCTGCTTCCAATTTATTAGGTGCCCCTGTAAAATTTGATGCAATCCAATGCAACTGTTGTGCCATAAAGTCTACATTTGTGATGCATGTAATCAGCTGTTCTTGCCCTGGACTGCATTGAGAGGTGTTTGTAACACTCTGCCCCCTCATATATCAAAATAGGAAGGACAAAAAAGATCAACACACCCTCTAACTATGACATGTAATCCATTTTATCCACCTATAAAAATGTCAACAGAAGAGAAGATTTGTGAAGATAGTCTCTCTCTCTCTCTCTCTCCAGATAGATACAGTAGATATGGAGAACTGCAATACAACATACAGGTGTACCTATTAAAGTGGTCATTGAGTGTACATTTTAATGCAAGAACTGAGTATTTATTGTAACTAGGGATGCACAAGCATGGATCAGTACTGACTTTACTCCAGCAGCTCATCAAAAAATGACTCATTCTGCCATTCACTCTGCATATTTCTTTGTTGTGAGCTAACGCCTCTACATACATAGTAACTCATGGCATAGTCACGTACGAGCATGCACTGCTGCAGTGCACTTTCTACCTCCATTTTCACACTGTTCCAATCATCAACATTCAGTGCCAGAAATACAACAGGAAACGCAGCAACGTGCCAATGACGACCAGGAGGAGGAAGACCGCAGGCTAGAAAACAACAGAACTGAGAAAAATGGCTTTCCATATTTTATGGAGAAAGGAAATGAATTCAAGACATTTGTTAGATCTGCAGGATATTTAAAGTGTGTTTTGGTGAGAAACCCTGAGTGTAAACAGAACTAAACTCCACAAGTAACTTTAGGAAAGGGTGTGTAGTTACAACCTCAAGCTCCCGTTCCACACAAACAACAACCCAAGTCAAGGTGGTTTACACCTTTTCAACGTAGGGGTTGGCATCAGAAAACACACTGAAGGCACTAACTAAGATTTTACACATTGCTTGACATATAAAGTGAAAATGGGACAGGATGTCATATCTCTCCACTATGCTACCCCCCTCCATTAAAATCTGTTACCTAGAAGAAGAAGAAGCTTTTATTTTATTGTCATTGTAACATTGTGACACGTACAACGCAATGTTGTACGGAGTTGAGGGCCCCGGGCCCCGGGCCACTGCGCGCATACACGCAGCCATCATGGGCAACTTGGGGGGGTTCAGAGTCTTGCCCAAGGACACTTCAACATGTGGAGTCCAGGCACAGAGATTCGAAACTTCAACCGTCTGGTTGGGAGATGACTGCTCTACCCACTGCACCACTGTTGCCCCCCTACAGTGCTTCTGTTGCAAATCCAGCCTCTCCACCCTGTGTAGTCAAAAATATGGTCTGTAAATTTGCCCCAGCTGCCACCTAGTGAAGGGTATATGATGCATTTTTAAAACAGCAAAGAGTCAACCATGGAGGACCTCTGTGCAGCTAAAATCTGTGAATCAGTGGCTGTCAGACTGCAGATGCTTTGTTCTTTTGCACAGAGTGGGACAAAGAAGGAGCGGAAACCAGGGTTAACATCAGTTTGTTGTTTTGAGATGGAAAGTGTTAAAGGCAGCCCAAGGACCCAAATGTGATTCAGATGTGGCACTGTTCCATCTGGTGCATTAGCATCTAAAGCTAGTAAGTTTATTTTGGTAGTATTAGTGACCTAGCATGGATCTCTGCTGCACATGCTGCTCCCATGCAGCATACATTGTTATATGCTTGTATATATTTTTTTTACTATATTGCTGCATTTGCTGCTTAAAGTGCCTTAGATTTTGTGTTACTTCCTATATTTCATTTGTATTTTGTGGTATTCATGTGGACGGCATAGTAAGAATTTCATTGTACAGGGAAACACGTTTCCTAACTGTGCATATGACAAATAAACACTTTGACCTTTCATATAGTTTTACCTTTGTGTTGATTAATATGACTTTAACTTAGGAGAAATTTGAACTTTGTGTAGCATTAGTGCTTTGTGCCACATTAGGCAGAGGGTTCTACTGGATGGACAAATTGACTCGATAGTCAGCTAACTCTGGACCGGAGGCTGCATTTTGTCACTACCAGGCATCCATAGTTGTTGCTAAGAAACAGGATGGGATGGGAGGGGCAAGTGGTTAGGAGCAACTTATGGTGTCAGTTTGTGTTGAGTCTCTATAAATACTCTGGCTGAAAGGAAATTAGGCAGTGTAGCTTTAAAGAAGAAATTATAGCACCGAGCAACTGCAATCTTAAGTCTGTTCTTCTGTAAAACCAGGGCACCAGATAAAAAAGGTGACTAATGTGTTATAACAGCCTCGCTGGCTAATGCATGATGACTCACAAATGCTAATTTTGCACCTTTTACCCACATTCCTAAGATCTGATATGTTTCAATCCCGCACTCCACTAGTTTTAAAAGTATAGCCATGCTGTCAGCGGAGCCTACCACTGGGTCTTTCACTGTGTCCATCAGTCGGATGATGTTGGTCCCTCCTCGCAGGTTCTCCAGGATCTTGATCTCTCGCTTAATCTTCTTCTTCTTGACCGGCTAATTCAACATGAAGACCAAGACAAACAACGTCAGAGATTTAACAAGAGGTTTTTAGGGTAGGAGACCAGAAAAATGTACATCTAGACATACAGAGTGTTTGTCCGCGTGCTATTTCTGACTCCTGACACAAACCTGCTGACTCAGCTTGGCTTGTCTCTGCTGCTGCATTCTTCAGCATCAGTATGTCAATTTTAGTTCAAAGACATTTAGCGCAGCTGGTAGGGAGACCTTCACTTTTAAAATGGCTGATGGACAATCCTCATCTGTCACCTACAAAACCACCACACCAACTCCAAACACCCATCTCTTCAGGTTTTTTATTCCAATTTGTGCTGTCACAACAAGAAAAAACAGGAATTCCTGAGCAGACATATATGTGGGCAGTGGTTGTCTCAACCACAGCTTCAGACTGAGGAAAGAACAAAAATTGACTTATTGTACTAATTCATTAATGAAACCACTGCAGCATCCAACAGGGATCTACCACCTACCTCACTATTATACCAATGCACCAATACATAAGTGAACAGCAGGAGAAATACAGATGTGTACAAGCAGAGAAATGCATTTATTCCCTCAAATAAAATTATTTTTTCATTAATTATCAGTGTACTCATTCCAGTTTTATCTTGTTCATTAACAAAATATGTATGTATTTAAACATTTATTTGTTATACACTGTATATGTAAGAGAGCAGCACAGTGGCGCAGTGGTTAGCACTTAGCACCGTTGCCTCACAGCGAGAAGGTTCCGGGTTCGGGCCCCACCTGGGACCTTTCTGTGTGGAGTTTGCATGTTCTTCCCTGTGCTTGCGTGGGTTCTCTCCGGGTACTCCGGCTTCCTCCCACAGTCCAAAGACATGCAGCTTAGGTTGACTGGTGTCTCTAAATTACCCATAGGAGTGCATGTGCGTGTGTGGTTGTTCGTCTATGTGTTAGCCCTGCGATGGATTGGCGACCTGTCCAGGGTGTACCCCGCCTTCGCCTGATTGCTGGCCGGGATTGCCCCCCCGACCCGACCCCGTTCAGGGACTAAGCGGTAGAAAATGAATGAATGAATGAATGAATGTACAGTATATGTAAGAGTAAACAGATCTACTTATTAATTTGCTGATTAAAGCTAAAGTATGTAAATTAAGGTAACACAGCATGACACTCCAAACCACTCTACTCCACCCCCCACACCCTGGCACTGCTCCATGGTGCTCTACTACGCTCTGCGTGACTCTTCACCCCCCACACCCTGGCGCTCTACTACGCTCTGCGTGACTCTTCAGACAGTTCTCATTATGAAATTACAATAAATGAGAACAACAAAACTTGCTGATCCTGCAGAAATAATAGAAAATCTTTGACTGGTTATAGAGGTCAATCCTGCTCAACAGCTTTTAGAAGCTAATATCTCTGCACTGCTGCCTGTGCTGTTCAATGAGTCAGGGTCACAGGAGGCTTCAACACCACCTCTCCACATTAAGACAAGGTTTGGAGCAGATTTCTACAACAAAACTATTTGAAAGAAGTTGAATAGTGTAGCTTTAAGATGGCCTTTCTCTCCTCCACAGCACAGTCTGAGATACTACACATCCTCATTCAGGAAACTTGGACACAACAGGTGTTTGCTATCTGGGCTGCAATTATGCCATCATGGCTAAATCTACAGCTGCAATAGTTAACTCGGTCAACTGAAAATTAAATTAAATTCATCCTTCAGATGAATAGAAATGCCAAACATTTGATGGTTCCAGGTTCACAAAAGTGAGAATATGCTGGTTTTCTTTGTCTGGCATCATAGTTAACTGAATATTTGTAGATTTTCAACTGCTGGTGGGACAAAAGAAGAGATCTGGTCAGGTCTCTTTGAACTTCATGAAATGTTATCTGTTTTCTGATGCTTTATAGAGCAAACAATTTCTTGACAACTTAGAACATTAATTAAGAATAATAAAATAAAATCAGAATACTGGAAAAGACCCAACACAAGTTAATGAAACCCAAGGTGACATCATTAAATTGTTTGTTTTGCCCGACTATCAGTCCACAACCCAGCGAGATTCAGTTTATATCACATCTGAGCGGCTGTAGTTCAGCACAATGAGACGACGTCCTTTACATCCAAACTCTAGGATTACAACCATAAGAAATACAGTAATTAAAGCTGCATCTAACAACTATTGTGAAATGCAAGACAACTGTGAAAAACAACTGTCCCATTCTCCTGACATATTCAGGTTTTATCTCAGCAAACTATCAAATAAGACAAAAACAGAGCAGGAAATCCTCTAAAACTGGAATAGAAAGAGTTTAGGACTCTCATGGAAATGTGATGAGGAGGGCTCCAAGGCATCCAGCAATTTTTTTTTTATTGGGGAGATCCACCTGCTCACCTTCAAGATCTTGACGACCACTTTTTCGTTGTTGGTGATGTTGATGGCCTCGAACACTTCGCTGTACTTGCCTCTGCCCAGCTTGCGGACCAGCTGGTAGTCCTCCTGGTTGCTACAGGGACACAGAGAAACAGCAGAGCATGTGTGACTGCCTCAGAGAGAAAAATATTTGCAACACATGAGCAATTAAGTCAGTGTATGAGCTGTTGGGTTGCTATGGGTTCCTGTCACAGAGACAAAACTCCAGGGGCAGAGGGGATTTCTGGTTCTGATGTCAAGACAGGCAGCACCAGTCAGGGTGAACATAGGGACAATGAAGGTGGGAAAGTGTCAGACAGTGCAGAACAGCAGGGTGGTGGGCCGGGAGACAGAGACTGCACAGTGTCATCACACCCTCACAGCTACATGTATAATAATAGATACCCATCTGGACCCTGTTCCTTCTCCACAGAGACACACATGCACACAGAGACCCATTATCTGCAGTGGTCAGGAATGCGTGCAATGAGAGCAATGTGCAATAAAGAAAAATGTCCTCACTTCCAATTGGGTACGTGGGCCTCGTAGTCCCAGTACTCCCGACTCTTCAGCGTGTTGACGTCTGCGTACACACGGGACTTGCTACCGGCCACCGGACCCGGCATGGCGAGAGCCGTGGCTCGGGCGCTACGGGGCGTGTATCACTGAGATTTGCTGGTGTGGGGATCGCTGACGAGCTAGACGGGGTCGTGGGGATAGACCGGAAACTGGATTTGATGTCTGTGTCGGTGTATTGTAGAACAGGCCAGCCAGCTCCTCTGTGCAGCCAGGCTAAGAAAAGGGAAGCCAGGGACGAAGACGAACCGGAGACGTCTGCCGGGATTCTCCGCAGTCTGTGCACGTCGAGCAAAGCTCCTTGATCGGACTCTCAGAAGCAGCAGAGCCGGGGACGGTGGAGCTCGGAGAGGGGATGATCAAGGTGAGGGTGATAGTGCAGCTGAGGTTACGCAAAGGGACGGAGGCGCATCGGGGTGTTGAGGTAGAGAAGAAATGGACCCTGAAAAGGCCACAAACAAGGAGGAAAGGGGACTGGCAATCTAAATATCACGGGTGAATGTCCGAGGCTACTCTGTCTGCGGCCCTAAACCTGGGAGGAAACGGGTGGGCTTCCTGCGCTAGATGATGTACAGGCAGGGTGGGAGATGCCCTCGGTGGTCCAGTGCTAGCTATCAATCCGCTGCTGGTGTGTCGGATAGATAGCGGGAGTCGATCGCAGAGAGAGGGGGCGGAGAAGCGGAGATCGATGTTGTTAGCTGATGTTAGCTACTTCGGCGCGGAGATGTCGCACCGACGGGGAGCGCTCAGCGCCGTGCACCACCATCGGTGGAAAAGGCGTCATGTGCCACCGGCTGTGCGGGTAAGCAGCGCCTCAAGGGAGGGGGGCACTACCAGACGCCTCCGAAAGTGCCCGAGGTTCGGGGATTCTTCTGCTGCCACGGACCTCCCTTGGTCGAGAGCGCAGGGGAGGGAAGCGGACTGCGATTGAAGAGGAGCGAGAGCCGCCCGGATGTGAAAGCCGCTAGCTGCCGGGGTGAGAATGAGAAGTGTTCGGCTGGGCACCCGGGCCACAGCGCCATCTAGTGACGAGGAAGTGACAGGCGCGCAAACTTTTTGTTCTCTCATATCAGACCATTTTATCATAATTTTCCCAAAATCTCAGTTATGTCAATGGCATTTTGTTCGTGTGGCCACGGAATATTTTTCTGGCGAATGTCACTAAAGGCTCAGTAACGCAGTACTTTTTTTCTGTAAAAATAATACAACTCAAACTTGTTTTCCAAGAGCTTTCAACTAACTATATAACATTGTCCTGAACAGACACAGTTTCCTCAGGCGTCATGCAGATGAACCTATGGCAAGCCGTTTTAACGTGTAATCGAACCACACTTCTTACATTTTATATATCCATAATTGTATTCACACTATGGTACAGTAAATAAAGATATCATCAGCAACATTAAATAACCATAACTAGCAGGAATTATATTTCAGGTTATCTACAACTTTTGTCAAAACTATATTTAAGACGTAAAACACCTTAAAAAATGTAAGTGGCCGCTTCAACATTCAATTGCTAGACTCCATGTGTGTTGTAAATATCTGCGATTCAGTCGTTCCTTGTCAAAAAGAACATTTCAGATATCCACAATGATTTTTCCTAGGACAAGCAACACCAGTTTTACCATTCACGTGTAATGGGCTTTCAGTTTCAGATAGTTTCATCATTTCTGATATCCAGAACTTTCATTCCAGAATATCTACAGTAGGAATTCTTATTATGAAAACCCATTTCAGATACATATACTCCAGTTTTTACTCATAAATTTAATTTCATATATCCAAAATGAAAAAGCTTTACAGATGAATGGCCACAATATATGATCAGAAATTGGATTATTACTAATCATAATTTTAATTGCAGATACCTGAGATAGAATTTTTACTTTTTTTGCTGGTCACAATGTATTTTGGATATTCAAAATGACATCATGGATATCTGGGATGGTTTTCATCCCTACATGTGTCCCAACATTTGCTGATTACTTAGAACAAATTCTATCTGTAGAAAGGCTGTGTTGTACCCAGATTTTTTACCTAAGTAAAAGTGTTACCCGTAAAAGTCCTGTATTCAAAATATGAAGTAAAAGTACACAAGTATTATCATCAAAATATACTTCAAGTACTAAAAGTACTCATGCAGAATATCACATTTCACATTCCTGTATATGATATTGTATTAAAACTACATGTTTTCCATCATAAATCAGTGAGGTCTTAAAATTATATTGTATTTTTTGTATTAATCTGGTTCTGAAAATATCTAGTAACTAAAGTTATAAAATAAATGTAGTGAAGTAAAAAGTACAATATTTGCCTCTAAAATGTAGTGAAATCAAAGTATGAAGTAACAGAAAATTTAAAGACTCAAAAAAGTACACATACCTCAAAATTGTACAGTACTTCAATAAATGTACTACATGTACACCACTGCTTTTACTACACCATCTGAAGCACTGACAAAAGCATTTAACAAGGGAAGCCAGATCATTTCAGGGTTTCATTCTATAGCAGGATAATGACCCAAAAACACACCTTCAGGATGTGTAGAACGATGGAATGGCAGCACAGTGTCCAGACTGTCCAGATGAAGAGTGAAAGTTAAGCAACCTACAGGTGCAACGTATTAGTTGGAACTTGTGCAGCAGTGCTAGCTGTCTGTCTTTGTGTGCTGCACTATTAAGTGCAATTCTGCTTTGGAAAAGAAATACAAGCCATTTGTCATCTTGAGATGTTTTATAGAGCTGGTCTATTAACATCTAACAACCAATCAGAGGCTCTCAGTGTTTGCATCCTTTCATTCCTAAATCTTTCATTCAATACTAACATTAAAGCTGTTAGAAAAAAAAGTTTTGCTTTTTTTTTAATGGTTCTTTATAAAAAAGTTTACAGATCTGGAAAATCTCATCATCAAAGTTTAAAAATGAAAAAAAAGTTTTATTTGTTAGGTGCTGTGTGTAACTGAATGCATACAGATCACCTTAGCATGAATGTACACGTACTGTACATCACCACAAAGTTTTTTTCTTTTCAACACTTTTTTTTAAACATCATTCACATGAGCTACAGTACAATTTGAAAAAGCTATAGTAGGGAACAGTGCTGTGGAAGGGGAGAGCACCGGTTCCCAGGGACATAACACAGGAACCAACACAGCAAGCATGCAGAGAGAAAGCGACACCAGGGTCTGATGGGCTTACTTACTGGAACTGAAAAGGAAGGAGAGAACAGTTGGGTGGGTAAACTGGTGCCTGATTGGACATCCTCCACTGAAACCAGCAGCTATTCATTTCATTTGTGCTTATGCAGGTTTTTCCTCTCTCCTTTCTCCATCTGCCTGTTGGATATGGGATGGATTTTTTTAAAGCACAGCCCTGATCAAGATGTGACATTTTAATGTCCATTTCCACTTACCAGTTTTCCTCAGTGCATTCTCAGAGTGGTCAGTTATTGTTAGTATAAGGGCTCTCCATAAGTCAGGACAGACCATCAACCCACTAATGCTAACAACTATTCTGGTGCTGCTGGAATGCAATTATTCTTTGGCTTTGAATGTACACTTAATATTACACTAATGTACTTTTTTTATTTTTATTATGTCAAGTCTACTGTCAGTACTAAACAGCATGTGAGGTCCCTGTCATGCACCTGTGTCTATTTTCCATTATGCACATCTGATGTAACAGCACCAATTAACAAGTCAAAATCCTTCAGCACTTGGAGTTCTTGGCAAATATAACAGTGTCCGTGATGTCGTTATTCATCTTTTACACCATCATGCTACAGAAATCTTTGTGCACAGACTGCTTTCTGTAACAGCTGTACACTACAAAAGCTCAATATTGCTGTGGCAGATGTGTTGAAAAATACAGCCATCTTTATCCCAACCTATCCCCAAGGCCCTGGTCTCTCCCTCCAAAGAACATAAATAAATCAATGTAAAAAATATTCATAAAAAATAGAAACTGTGAAACAATAAAAAGCATACAGTACTTTAGTTGTTCTCAAAGTCTAAGAATGCCAGATTCAGAAAATAAAAGCATGATGGCTGATGAGCCCAACCTGACCTCACACAATGATGATGATGAATAGAGGGGGGAGGTGGAGGAGGAGCCAGAGAGCCACCACCATAAGGTCAAAGCAAACAGAAAAGAACCACAAGCCAGAATTTAAAAAAAGGTTGTTTCCATCTCCTCGCCCTCCTCCATTTGTATTAAATACTGCACTTAAACCATAAATCAAAAGTGAAAGAGGAGGAGGTGAGAAAGAACAGACAACAGAAAAATGGCAATCATAGCTGACAAGTAAACCAACTGGTGTTCCAGGCTTCTTAACAATCTCATTGCATTCAAAAAGAGGAAGGCATCGTCCACTTCGGTATAAATCCACCCTGACAGACACGGTGCTGAGCTCAATGCAACATGTAACAGGAAAATCAGTATTAATATTTTTTTCAAAACATGGAAAACATTAAACACTAGTTGCAGGTTCATCCTGTGGAAAACAGCTCTGACAGACCAGTAAGGTTAGGGGGAAAAAAGGCATAGGTCTGTTAAACGTTTCTGATATAATTCTCTTCAGTCTGAATTTCCCTGTTTGACAGGATACCATTTACATTCTCACACACACATGCAGAGTGCTCTTTAAGAATCTCTGCAACATACATACAATGGAGCACAAAAAACATTTCACATGGTCAAAACTAGTGAGAATACAAAACAGTTCTTCAATACACTTTTTTCTTTAAGAAAGACAACTTCTGACAATTGCAATTCATCTGGCACTACACTCACAACCATTGTATGTACAGGCTGAGAGAGGAAGTCAAATGTTCAAACGTGGACATTTTCAGTACACATACAGTACATCTAACAGCACCAAGCTCTGCGGAAATGTGACAAGGACATGTTCCAAATTTATATTTGTATAAGTCTATACTGGAGGGTGAGCTCCGTCTCAGTGATCAGGGGTTTTAATGATGGTGAACTTCAGCTGGTTCGTTAGTTTATACAGCCTTGGGAGCAAGGTACTGATTTATACTTGTGTTTTGATCAAATTAGAAACAGTTGCAAAAGTAACAGTCCACACATTCACAGACATTTTATCATCAAAATGATTTCACTACATCAAAGAGATTAGGTAATAAATAAAAAGTATAAGAAACACAAATACCCAGAGGGATATGGTTGGGACCTAAGGAGTCAAACCTTTTCTGTTTTACTCTGAGATCAAAACCGTAGCCCTCCAAGTCATCCCTCACTTGACTAGAAATGAATGAGAGTGTGTGTGTGTGTGTCAGAGGGGAAGGGCAAACTTTCCAGTCTGCAATGGGGTAGGACAGGAGGAGGAAAAGAAAAAAATAGAGGGAGAAAACTGAGGAAAGGCAGAGAGGATTCGCTAGAAAAAAAGAGGGAGAGGTGGGCAAAGAAAAAACAAGGGAACTACCCCCCTCTAGTGGATACTCACACAGTTTCTGTTCAATGGTTTTAGGTGGAGACTTGGCTCTACTGATTCCTTCAGTACTCTTCACAACATAGTTCTAAATGACCAAAAAAAACAAACAAACACACAAAAACCAATGGCTACCTGATTTTGTCAAGACAGTGACTGGACTTTTTATTTGTTTATTTCCTCTGTGAAATTAGGGAGGATTTTTGCAAGATCAAACCTGCACTGTGGCACCTGTTTCTGTCCTCAACATTCAGACTTGGCTGGCACTAAGTATGACTGACGGGAGGTAAGTGGTTGTGGCCTCTTCACTGCTATCAACTGTATGAGTGCGGGGGTGAGGAAAGAAGGAAGTAATAGGGTTAAGACACTGTAGAAAAAGTCCTCCTCAGCATTTTATGGAATGACAGGGATTGAATAAAGTAGGGCTTTGGGCAGGTTAGTAATGCAACGAATACCTGGTGTAGCACTGGTGGGAATGAATGCAATAATAATAGCCTGGACTGTCCTGCAAATGTGGTGAATGTTAGGCTGAATAAATAGCCTACTAAGGATAATCCAGAGTTTAAGAAACCATCACTCCAGAGATTTACATGCACTGGGGAACAGGGTA